AGTCTCTGGCTAGATGTTGAGAAACTACAAGAATGATTTCATAAGACATGGAAATTGTATGACACTCAAATTCTGGATGTACAGATCATCAGGCTTTCTTGGAGCACAGCCATCTCTGTTTCTACACCATGCCCAGCTCTTCCAGCAGTGCCAGGGCAGAGCTGAACACTTTTAACAGGCACATGGTCCCCCAAACCTGCAATACACATTCTATGACCCTCTATAGAAAATGTGTACAAAGCCCTGTCTAGAGGTTCCAAAGCAGAGATCGCACTTGCAAGTAACTAGACTGTCTTCCACCCAGTGAGCACACTGGTATCCTCAGCTCTGCCACAGGCTGAAGGGTGGCATCTTTATTACCCTAAGGGAGAAAGCCATCCTTCCAAAAGTCTCAGCGTGTATAGCATTGTCCCCTCAAACAAAGTAATTAGGAACAGCAATCTTCACTGAACCACTAAATTACCCAGATGAAATAAATACGCTAGAAAAAGTGCTCTCAATTTTCTCTTCCAATGAAGTAAATGATAGCATCCATTAAAAGGATGCCATAAAAACAGTGTCTGTTATCTGAGAACAGTTTAGAACCTTGACATGTTATAAAACAAATATTCGAAGAACAGCTATCAGTTCAACAGGTGACACATTTACTTACTATGTTTTTGCCATTAATAAGACACTGTGCTTTTCAATTCAAAGAACAATTTAATTATTAGGATAATCCTGTAAGTCAAGCAGTTGGCTATTATATGAATGAGAAACGGAAGCTCAGTCAGAATAAACAATTTGCCTGTAGTCAAAGACAAGTCAAGAGCTTGAATTGAGACAGATCTACTTGAATCTGCAATTTCCATTGTGCCATATAGGACACATCACACACTGGCAATTGTACAAGATACTGCCACCATGTTCCTCACTGGCCACCTTGTCAGGATTTAGGAATATTGTTGTTGTTTTCTAACAGTTAAGTTCAGGGATTTGCTGTTGATGATTTTTGACAGTAAAGCCTTACCTACATTCAAGTATGTAGTATGTATCAAATACTTAATTCAGACATGGTCCTAAATATTTTCTACATATGTTTTCTAACGCTCCTAATTCATTATTTGCAAAATATCCTTGGTACCATGCCAGAAGTGTCACATGCTAGAAATCCTAGCACTTGAGAGGTGGATGCAGGAAGATCAGAGTTTCAAGCCCCCTGCCTCCCTACCCCATACCCCCTTGACTACATAGCTAGTTGTAGGCCAGCCTGGGCTACAAGAGAAGGTATATAAAAACAAAGTAACAAAGAATTATTTAATAGATAAATAGCCTTTGTAAGTACAGCTTCAGAACATGAATGTTGAATTTGATGAGGGTCGAATATTTACAAAGTTTGGAAGGAGGTTCATTATCAAACCTACTAAGCTTTCTGCCATCTTTCCCCAGTGCTATCTAAAGTATTCATGCTTTGGTTTTTATTTAAAATGACATTTATATAAATGATAAATGAGGCACAATACTCTTAAGACCCTCGGAAGCCCAAATTCAAGGAGACCCTGGTACTAAACAACAATAAAATGGAAGTGTTGAAGTGATCAAGCCACTGGGCAGAGATGCTTCTGGAATCTTCCCATGAGAAGGGGACCTGTGAGATTTGTGAGCACAATGCTTAGTTGAAGCAGAACTTTGGGGTTTGTACTTTAATATTGAAAATTAGATTATATTGCCTATTTTAAAGAGAACATTCAATGGGGAAAAAACCCACATAGTTTTCTTTAGTGAAATTCAAGAATTTGGATTTAGTTTGAAAACAACTTAAAATGCGTTAAACAAAAGTAGCTGGAACACAGATTACCACTAACATCCTAATTACCGTAATACCCATAGACTTCACTTTTCTGCTAATGTTGTTTCTTTCCTCTGCCTTAGCTAAGGCTGTACTGAGCACCATCCTTTTGTTCGCATAACTTCTGTTATAAAACAGCACTTCCTTATAACACCCAGCATGCCTTCTTCCCACAGCTAGGATTACACAGAAGGTGGGATATTCTCAGACATTTTTTAGTACATATTGTTGTAACATGCCCTAATTTTGCATTATATCATATCAACCAGATCCTGTATCCCCTTACTGAATGGCCCACTCATTGAGTTGCCTAAGCTACTGTGACTAAGCTACTTCTCAAGTGTCTGGTTCCCATAGAGACAGAACAGCTACCACATTCATTTCTTTATATGAATGTAGAGGAAGGCGGAGCCACATACTTCCCTGACAATGGTCAAAAACATAACTAAATCTGCCCTCAAAAAGTAAAAAAATAAAAAATAGAAGAAGCAGATTGCCACTAAGCTATGGTCAAGACTGGCGGGGAACAAAAGGGATGAGGACCATTCCAAGCAGCTTAGTTATTATTATTGTTTGGAAGAATTCTGGTCAAAGTTCATATTTTTCAAGTCTTGATTATCTGATTTAAGAACAAGTTCTACTTAATTTTAATATTCTCTAGTGAGAACAATTAAAGGGCAGACAAGCTCCCTTGCGTGCTTCTGGACAACACGCGACATTTTCAGCAACGCACCATCAAAAATTTCCCTGACTAGAAGGTATGCCTCCAGTCAGGAAAACAACAGGTTGGTCAAAGCATCCAGCACAAGAAGATTCTAGATAAATATTTAGGAGGAAATCAGTCAAGTGTCTGAGATGCTTCTGACCCTAAGATGGGCACTGTTGACATTAAAGCTCGTAACCCAGCCCTGGCCAGTTCTCCAAAGCTGGTAACCCAGCCCTGGCCAGTTCTCCCAGGTCCACTGAGCTTACCTGCCAGTTGCCTTCTTGTTTATTCAAGTATATATTTAAAAGCCATCTAAGATTGTGCTAACACTAAAATTTGCATTTTCCCTCCAAATCAGTTCATTCCTGTCTCAACATATACATGACTGTCCTGGGAATCATCTTTCTTTTTTTATCTATTAGTTACTGCCCACTGCCCCAATCCAAGTGTTTACTACATCCTATTCTCTACAGACATAATTCATAACCCAACTCATTTTCTCTCTGCCACTAGTAATTCAGATCATGCTGGTCTTCTATCTGAATCTTCACCTTCCTTCCCCTGCCATTAAGTCTCTAAACAAAAGTAATCTAAAATTGTAAATCACCTTCTCACTTTCTCCCTCTGAGATCCACCCATGGCTTGCCTTGTTTCCTACTGTGAGATTAGCTTTCATGAAGACGGCTCAGAGGCCCTCTGGAGCTTGTTTCTATTCCTGACTGCATCACCACTGAGGATCCAGCTCCATCACTAAGCTCCATCACTCAGGCCTCTTTTGTCCATCAAACAGTAAACCCTTCCCTGCCTCTGCATGTACTATTTCCTCCTCATAAAACACTATCCCCTGATGGCCACAGTGACCACAGGTCATTCAGGCTTTCAGCCCAAGGACACACACAAAATCTCTCTCAAACAACAGGCTTTCTAGTATTGTCAATGAGATGGCTCAGAGGGTAAAAGGCATTTGCCACCAAGCATAATGACCTGAGTTCAATCCTCAGAATCCACATGATGGATGGAGAGAACTGATTGCCACAAGTACTGAGAGGCAAACCTTGACTCATAAGCACCCACAAACACTTATTTGTATGCGTGTGTGCATACATACATACCCACCCACACCCACACACCATACAACAATGTAAAAATAAAAATAAAATAAAATAAAATAAAACAGGACTCCTAAAGTTCTCCTTTACCCCCATCAATGTGTCAATGAAGAGTAAAGTTACAATAAAATCAGTCATATCATCCATTGTATAAAATGGACATATTTGACTTTTGGAAATTGCATGAAAAAGACTTTTAATCACATGTCCTATTATGATAAAGTGAATACACACAAAATGATATTTGATGAAGCCTCAAAATATTAATGGCTAACACCTTAAAAGCTGAAATTTGTGGTATTTGTAGGGCTTTATTTAGATAGCATTTTGCCTATAGCTTGCTGAGAATTTGGATGAAAAAAAAATATTTTTCAGCTTTTTGAGACAGGGTCTCCCTGTAGCCCCAGCTGTCCTGGAACTCACTATGTAGACCAGGCTGGCTTTGAACTCACAGATATCTGCCTGCCTCTGCCTCCCAAGTGCTGGGACTACAGGCGTGTGCCACCACACCCAGCTGGATGAAAAATTTTAAGCCAAGGGAGCACTGCCAAGGTTATTGTGATCAGGTCTATCATTAACAATTAGGAAAGCTGGACTTTGAAGCTTCCGTGTCTCTACTTTACCCTCCAGAATTATGTCAATACTAGTGACTCCATGTATACTGATTTAAATAAGCACCTGTTGGAAGAATGAATATCTGGTCATACTTATAATGAGAGGATATTCTGTTCTGTAGGTGTCCGTTTTGGCATTTGATTATGATAAATCTCTAGACTCACTCATAAAAGAATTTAGTTTTCCTGATCCAAACCAATAGCTCCAAGAATTTAACTTAAAATTTCTTTAATGATAAAAAAATGAGGAATATATAGAGAGAGTAAATTTAGCAATTACTGCAAAAGGACATGTACAAATATTCATAGCAGCTTAAAAAATACCAACTCTGCTAATCACTTCAAACAATAGCAAGTGATATTTGCTTCATTGAATGTATTAGGAATAAAGGAAGGCAAACAAATATATATATAATATTTATATATAATATATAATATATATAATCTAAAATATCCTTGGTAGTCACTCTGTGTTTAAAGAAGCATCCCATTACTTTTCACATTGGAGACTGAAATAAGCATTAACTTACATAAAGTCAATCTCATTTTTAAGACCTAAAAACTTTTCTTTTGCAGATTTATTTATTTTCCCTTACTTGTAAATTTGGTCGCACCAATAAGTTACACTCCTTTTTATTTTACAAATGTATTACTTAAATTTAAATTCTACCATTTGAACAAAAATTAAATTCTAGGCATAGTTACTCTAAAGTAATTAAAAAGCGATGTCTGGTAGTACTCACCCTCCCATATCTGTTGGCATAGGATCCCGTTAGCAAGGAATGGAAAACAATGATAGTCTCGTCCAAGTCCCAGATGAACACTCTCTACAAGGGAAGAAGAAATCAATGCACCTTTGCTTTGCAAGAGAAACTGTTTTTCAGTTAACTTTGGCATAAGTTAATTTTGAAATGACATACAAATGGAAAAATCTGAATTTATTCTTTCTTCAAGCACTCCTTGAAGCATCTCTTAGCTTTTTTTTTTTTTTTTGCCTTTTTTGATATAATCTCAGATGAGACACCAGATGACAATTATGCCAGCAGTGTCAATCTAATTCAGAAAGGAGGATAGTACATCTTTTCTACTTCTGGAGTAGCATCTCAGTTTCAGTTCCCAGGAGATGATAATGAGCTAAAACCACTCTGTGTCTTCTGAGAGACAGAGGGCCATCCATTGAAAGTCACTCAGACTACCTATTCCTTATCTCAGGTCTCTGTTTATTAAGAATTTAAAATATTTTAAAAAAGAATTAAAAATAACTCCTTTTACAATTTAGCCAAGCTAAATATCAAAAATTTCATGAAGAAATTGAAGATTTACATAATCTATTCACCCTGTTAACTATTACACATTTATCAAAAGGAAGGATTAAATAGTTGGTCCTAAGTGTCTACAAGTTCTATATCTAACAATAGAAAATACTGAGCAAAAGAATCTGCATCCATACTGTTTATTCCATAAACAGTACTTTGCATTATATAAGGAATTCTGTGTAGTCTGTATACCAAAGTGCCAGGGGACTGGAGATGGGCTCAATAGCAGAATGCTTACCTAGCATGCACAAGGCTCTGAGTTCAGTTCCCAAAAATGCAACAAAAGAAAAACTCTTGGGGGGGGCAGATTCTGCAGAGGATGTATGCATGTGGTGTCTTGCATAAGGGACTTGAGCACCTGTGGATTTGGATATCTACAAGAAGGTCCTGGAGTCCATCCCCTGTGGATGCCAAGGGATGACTATATTTTTCTCACCAGGTGTTTTCAGTTTTCAGATAACAGATATATAATCAGAAGCAGACCCATTTCACACACTCTTAGACACACCCTTGAGATAGTCTGAATTGGATTTGGAGTTTATTTCATAAAGTTCTTTGAAATACCACATAAAGCCCCCCAAGCCTGCCTCTCTTTTTCCTATTCCCACTTACAACGGTATACATTCATGTACATAGATGTTACTGGAAAATTTTCTTATTTTTGGCCCCAAATAATAAAGTTTTCCATTATCAGATTTTACTTTGGCAAAAAGCAGAAACTTAATTACAGTGGCCTCAAGACTGTGACATCTACCTCCTGTCAGTTCTTAATCCCTCCTGCTTTTGAACTCTACCAAAACATCTCCCAGTAGGTGATTACTATTTCAGTTTGGAACATTCCAGGTTTCCCTTTCTCAAAGTACACAAATGTGTCTTTAGTTTCAAAAGTGGATTTTATTAAGCATTTTTAATATGGCACATACTTAACTGAAATGGCAATGACATAAAACAGTACTGTAGAATTTTGTTCAAGCGGAATTACATAGTTTTGCTTTTTTTAATTGTTTGTTTTGTTTTTGAGACTGAGTGCTATTGCTATGTAGCACAGGTTGGGCTCAAACTCACCATGAGCCAGGAATGATTTTGAATTGCTGATCCTCCCACCTCTACCTCCCAAGTGCTAGGATTATAGGCATTTGTTACCAAACCTAGTTGTTACATTCCTATAAAAAGAAATTGATGGGTGCTTTATCATATAGTTACTAGGAAAGAAATACTGACATGAACAATTACATAAAACTGGGGATGTAACTCAATGGTAGAGGACTTGGGTAGTCTGTGTGAGGTCTTGGGTTCCACCTCCAGTGCTGCTGAAACAACAGCAACAATAGAAAATATCCCTTGAACAAATAATATCAACTACAAAGACCCTGCATGATAGATGGTGATAAAGAAGAGACAAAAATTGCTTTATTTATTGTTAATATGAACAACAACAACAAAAAATCAATGACCAAGCACTGGAATACCTGCTTGCTGCTGTTCACAGAACAATTCTATTGAACCCTTAGCGAGTTCTGAGAGACCTTATTCCTTCTTTGACTGACAGCAATGACATACCTCAAGGTCAGAATCCGGGGGAGGTGAAGGATTATTGTTTCTCCTGCCTCGGCCTCGTGATTTCCCATCGGAACCTCTTCTCAGTCGATCTGAATCTGAATCTTTAATGGGTGTTGAAGGGCTGTGGATTGTACTGTACTCTGTAAGAATATAGAAAGGAATTTCACCTCTAAGTTCTACTACCATGGTGCCAAGAACAATCTTGTTTTAAGTCAGAGAGAAGTCTGAAGAGTAAAGCACATTCAGCTTAGTTCAAATCCTACATTATCTTTTATTTGCATTAATAAATAATTTAGAAAATATTATAATTCAAGATTTGTTTTAAAAGAAAACTATGTTTAAACCATTAAACTTTAACTATAGGTATCAGACAGAAGGTTGTACTAAGTTGCCTGGATTTTCCCGAGGGCCCCTGTGATAAGACAGTGCTCCCTTCCTTATGCCGTCTACCAATTCTCTGAAGCCATTAATGGCTCCTGGCTACCCAGGGAAGGTCTGACATTTGCCTCAGCTGTGGCTCTCCCAACTCCAAGCAGGATTCTGGTTCATGGAAAAAAGATGAAAAGAACAACCAGCTCCAGGGCAGGAAAACCTGAGTCATAAGGCAAATTTTTCCTTCAAAAATTTAAAACCACCACTTTCTCCCTCATTTTATGTGAGAATAAAGAAGTGAGCTGATAAGCAGAGCAGACTTTTGGACACTGTCCACTTTGGTACAACACCCACATAGGATCTTTTGGTGTCTTGATCTTTTGAGGCAAACTTCCAACACCAGGCAGCACATTAAAATTACTCATCTGGCTAACTCAGAGAAACCACTGAAATAATTACACAGAAACCACAAAGTAAAGGACAACTCCAAAACGGCTCGAAGGAAGAGCTGAGCAGTTGTTGTAGAATTCAGGGAGATTCTTATCTTGTGTCCAGAATGAACAAAAAACCCCATTCACTCTCACATCTCAGTCTATCCATTATTTACATCAGACAATCTCCACTACACTGGGCCCCATATATCCTGTTCTGGCTCTCCCCACAAGGCTTCTAGCCGATTCCTTTACTAGATAAGGATGAGAATCTCTCACTTTGATATGAAGAATGGCTTTCTCACTGTGTTCTTATTTACTACATTTTTCCAGACAGAAACTATGAAGACCAATGGAAGGCCTGGCAGCCTTTACAGAATAATGTCAATCAAAACTCTACCGCCAAGGCCATTTGTGGTCAAACCACGGGTAACAACATTACCACTAAACTTAAAGTGCTTCTCTGAAGCTTTGAGTCAAAGTAGACAACACTGGATTTTCACAGACTAAATTCGATTTCTAAATCATGTGAAACAGTTCTGTACCTCTTATTTAATCTTAACAGTCACCCTCTCCCCCTCATAGAAGGGATTTATATGTTCTCTTGCATCACAAACAAGTTTGTACATCACAAACTACCTCACTTAGCTTCTCATAACCAGAAACCTACAAGCCATTTCTTTATTCATAGTCAGAAAGTCCAGAATACCTCTAGACAATGGATTTGTTTAGTTGTTAGTCAGTGGATCTGTCTATTTAGCTGTTGGAGTTTATTCTTGAGCTAACTCACTTCACAGAAGTGTTAGATGCTGCCATAAAGAACAAAATTGGTGGGCAAGATGGCTCTGCTGGTAGATGACTTGCCACCAATTTTGAGAACCTGAGTTCAAACTCTGGGACTCACACGGTAGAGGGAGAGAACCAACTCCTACAAATTGTGTTTTGATCTCTGGAAGCACACCATGGCATGTACACACACACACACACACACACACACACACACACACACACACACACACACACACACAAAAACACACTGTGGTATATACACAGAAAAAAAAAAGAAAAAAAAAGAAAACTAAACCATTTGCAGAAAAATGGATGGAATTGGAGACTATCATGATAAAGGAATTAAGCTGGGATTAGAAATACGAATATAGCATGTTTCTCTCATATGCAATATCTGTATCTTAAAAACACAATAGGCAGAAAAAGGACTACTTAATGGGGACTGACAGGAGGGAGGAGGAGAGGAGCAGGAGGACCCAATAGGCAGAGAGAATAAAATAAATACCTCCTGTTTTCTCTCATGAGGAATCTAGTTTTAAAAACATAATCATTCTCTAAATCTATATTAACATTCTTTAGTGCAGAAGCAGATTGCTAAGGCATCCCTTCTTTAAGGTATTCTAAACTAAGCAACTCTTTTATGTTGTTCTTTACAGAAAACAAAGGGCTCCAAATGAGTATATTTTAGGTACTCAACTGGGTTCAAAGTTGTACTTTTGAAGAAAACACCTTAGCCTTACATTTTAAAAAACACCATGCAAAGTATCCCTCTCTTGGCGTCTGGGTGGTCCTCATGACAACATTTCCACTGCTTTAAAATGAGGCATTCATTTTGTATTGGGCAGAGTTGGCGGTTGATTCTGATTCTTCCTGTATTCTACTATACTTCACTATAAGGTCTACCATGAACTGGGCATTCTCCAGTTTCTGGAAGCACCTACCCAAGAAGCCAAGAAGACATCTAACACTGTATCTTATCACATGGTGACTTTTGCCTTGAGTGCCACATAGTTTAGTTTTGACCTCAAGATACATTATCTAACTTAGGTTTTCTTACCTTATATTTTCTCTTACTGATTGTCCATTCCTTTATTTCTTTATTTATCCTTTAAAAGGTTAAAAGCATATTCATCTCATTTTGTTTTTGGAATGCAGCTAAGTGCACCACTATACTACCAATACTCATTTTGTTTGTAGAAATAAATACTCTTTAAATCAAATGAATTACTTCTATAAGTTTAACTGAGCAAAACAGGAAAAGATTATGTTATGTAAAAATTTTCCTGGTAAAGAAAAAAAATACTTCTAAAAGATGAACAATCAGACGCCTTTACATATTAAGACATGCATATTCTTACAACTTACATACCTCTACTATTAGAAGAAAGATGAAATTAAAATGGATGCAAGCTAGTTTTATAAAACCTCTTTTGTGTTCTGTGAAGTGGAATTAAATGCTTCTAACTCTAAACCAGCTTTACTGATTCTAACTTCTTCCTCCTACTAGTACAAAACAACTCAAATAGTTTAATCTTCTAATCCATTCACTAAGGTTTCATTTCACTAGGGTTTCTCTAAAACCCTCCCCAAATTGTTCGCTTTACCCCCACGGAGATAATGGGTGTGAAAATACTTAGCAGAGCCTTTATTTCGTTTAGGAAACACTGATTCCATGTTGAGTCTACACTCTTGGGAGCAGTAGTAGGAAGCTGAATACATGGATGCACCAACCAGATGCAGTTCTGTCCTTTTGGTACTCAAAGTTCATTGACTCATAAACAAATACAAGAAAGCACAAAGCAAAGGGAAAGGTTAAGATGTGGGGAAGGGAGAGTTCTGGAGACCATGAAGGAAGTCTACATAACAATCCACAGGGTTACAGACGCTTCCTAGAGGAGGACAGATTTACCAGTAAAGACAGACTATAAATACACATATGCTCCAGCTAGGGGCACGGGCGTGTGAATGTACAGCACGAGAAAGCAGGTCATGGTTAAGAACTAAAGAACACTCATCTGACTTGGGTTTACTGAAGGCATATCAAGGAAGCTGGAGCAATGAGCGAGGAATTCAGCCAAGGAGAGGAGGCTCTTCCTCTAGAGTGGCAGGATACTGAAGACAAGGCACAAATAAGAGCAAGCAGGACAGAGGATAATTCAGTAATTCACATGAAGGAGGAGAGTGACCTTGACACAGGAGGTGGGACAGGAACAGTGACCCATCTTAAGTGTCATCAGGAGGTGAAACTAACTGGATTAGAAAGAAGCCAAAGATAGCATGCCAGTGATTTGGCAACTGAGTGGACAGGGAACAATAGAGGGGGAAAACTCAAGATCAGCAATGGAAATAATAAATACAGAGTTTATAGGCATCCAAATAACATCCAGCAGGCTACTGAACTAAGGTGAGAAGCATGGGCTGGGTTCAGGTTTGAAAATGGACACCATACATAATTAAAGAAAAGGATGCAAAGTAAGGTACCTATGTAGATGGGATGGACAGAAGATGGTTGGGGTGTGAAGACAGAAATAAATGGGTATTACAGAGGAAGGAGTGTCTGAGGAGAATGAGAAATAGCTTCCGATCAGCTAAGAGACAAGGAAAATGAAGATGCAGCCCAACAGACTGTGGATTCAGAGTCAGAGATACTCAGTAAAGTTCCAAAGTCCAGATGTAAGAAGGTAGCAAAGTAGGAAGGGCCAAAAGTCCTAAACCCTGCAATTCTCATTTAGTTCTGCAATCTCATCTTACCTCCCTGTAGCAGTGCTAACTCCTCTTGGATAATTCCGTACATGAAATGTAGTGTGTCCTGTTTACTCCTATCCCTAACCTCTCTTATCTCCCTCTCACCCCTGTTGTCCCCACCCCCATGTCTCCTACAAGTTCCTTTTCCATAATCATGCTCCATTTTTGTTTGGTGTTTTTAATATTTTATTTATTATTTTTATTTTATGTGTACGAATGTTTTGCACGCACTATGTCCTGTGTCATGCAGGATGTCCAAAGAGGGTGCCAGATCCCCAGGAACTGGAGTTAGGAGCAGTTGTTGGCTGCCATGTGGGTGTTGGGAACCAAACCCGGGTCCTCTATAAGAGTTCTTAGCTAGTGAGCCAATTCTCCAGCCCTTTTTTTGTTTGTTTTGTGACCCACTGATTTTACCCAGGATTGCTTCTGTGGCCATGGGATTGGAACAATTATCCACTGGAGTCTGGTGGGCGCACCATTTGGTGCACAGCTGAAGAAAATGACTATTGCTCAGCAGCAGTCAATAGCTCATCAGGGAGTTGTAGGGCCCCAAGAGCTCCTCCACGATCCACAACTGGCTGCTGGCAGGCCCACTTTTGTGCAGGCCAAGTGCAAGCATCACAGTGGCTGCATTATGTCCTGAAGACTGGATCTCAGAGCCCTTCTCCTGCCTTCGGCTCTTACATTCTTCTCTCCTCTGCACCAACCCCTCCTTTAACCACATGCATATTAGGATGTCTCAATATTCCTTCCTTCTATTTTATTTATGTTATCTTCTCAGTCATTAAGCCCAAAGCTTAAAT